ACATTTTTGTAAGAATCCGGATAAAATATGGATAACATTTAATGACATATAACAAATTAGTGCACATTCTAATTTAAAGATCCTCCATATTTTCTATATTTTAGTGCAAAGAGATTTTTGTTTTCTTGTAACATAATATCTATCAATCTCTTGCAGGAAGAGATCCATTTTAGTAGATGATGAAAGTATAATTAAGTTTTACCCAAAAAAAATTAACTTCGCAATCATAAAACATAGATAATTCATAAGTACGTGTCACTTTATTTAACTTTTTAACTAGATCACAAGAGACGATCGAATCGAACTCTTATACATATTTTAAGAGTTAAAAATTTTAGACGCCGGATTGCTTAAGGAGATACTCATCAATCTCTTTGAAGTTCTTGACAGCGAAGTCTTTGATGACATGTGGATCGGCGACCTCATGGCCGGTTTTCTCAAACTCACCGGACCATTTTAAGATGCTGCCACCGTCCTTAGGAGTAACGGTGATAGTTCCTTTGAATGTTTTGTAGTATTCCAACATTTCGCCACCGATGATGCTGTACATCATGCTTTTCTTCTCCAAGTCCACCGCTTCGATCCTCTCCGCTGATATCTTCACCAGTGGAGATCCTTTATATGGTTGAGAATACCAAAAAAAACAAAAAACATATTATGGCGAGAGAATGAAATTTATTATATAGAATGTTTAGGGTTTTTTGATGAGTCTATCAAGAAATATGAAATTCTTTTGTCTATACATTTTGTTCGACTTAGGATCAAACTAAACTTTTGACAAATTTGAAAATCCATTTGTGACCATCAATTTTTTACGAATCGATTTTGGTCAAGTAGTAGTCAGAAATAGCATGTTTTGACCAATTTTAGACCAAATTGATAGTCAAAATTAGAATGTTTTCTTGTAATGAAATTAGTCATTTTCCAAACATATATAACACTTAATTTGATCTTCAATCCAACAGCATGAGGAATAAACTTTTTTACTGATTGAATATAGTGTTTTACTTCTAACGAGTAAGCCATCGAAACATATAAATGCTTCTCTCTCTTTGGGTTAAACTAGTTATGGTTCTTTAATATATACATCTATTCCGATCTAGAACGACCCTTAATTTTACAAATGAATTTCTTCATGTACTCAATCTCTGGTGCAAAAATTTATATTGTTCTCTCTAATCAATTGAACTAATCACGTTTGAATAAAAAAATATGAATTATTAATGGTAACGACGATAAAATGAGCAATGTACCTTCTCCATAAGTAATGAGGCGAATGGAGCCAGGAGCGTTACCATCGCCGGCAAGAATTTGGATGGTTTTGTAGTCCTTAGGGAAAGCTTTGGGAAAGAGATTGACGCCGTCGCCGAGGGCTAGCCAGAACTTTTCAGCCGGAGACTTAACCTCAACCTCCACATGAAGAATACCACTGAGTCCCATTTTCTAGTGAAATAAACTCTATTATTATTATTATTGGTCTTTGAAGTATTTGTTTATAATAATAAGGTTGTAAATGAACATGTGTATATATAGAGAGGTTAGGGTAATGATATGGTAATTGCATTAACTATCTGGAGCAACCCATGCAGCTAACTTTTCATCCTATGGGGTCCTTCTAAATTTAACCAAAGGCTCGTACATTTGCATTCCACATTGCTACCTCACCCAATCATGTCGGTAGATGAATAATAAATATTGGTGCAGACCAAATTTCATCTGCCTAATAAATATAAGAACGTTTATTCGATATGCTAAAACATATTTTAAAAATTTAGGATCCCACTT